ATGCATAATCAAATATCTTATTGCTTTCGTTCGAGGACTAAAGGCTTCTCAAATTACAGCTTTTTTCAGCGCTCATGAGACTAAAAACTGTAATACATGGCGTACTGTAACGACGTTTCATCTGATATTTGTCATTTTTATTTTTTGATAACATCGATTTTTACACCAGAACATTATGGTGCCGCAGTAAAATTAATGAAAATAGATATGAAAATTCACAAAGATTTGTGCGAAAATGTAACAAGCAATGCCACTATAAAACTTCTTCGTATTGTATAACATCATCCAGATGAAAGACCTAACTATTTCGTGAAGCTTTATGAATCAAGTGCTTAGTCATTTTTAGCCCTTCTCATTCTTTCTCTTGTCAACTTATTTTTCGCCTGCTATTAAATTTAACGTGCATGCCCTCGAAGTTCGTTAGAGCCGGACGCCATGATAACTGCTTCGTAGAATAATAATGATAGTAATAATAATAAAATAATAATAATAATAATACTATTAATACTAATAATAACAATGCTAATATTATTGATAATAATAATAATGATTTAGTATACTTTCCGTGTCGTGATATTTACGGTGAATAGCATATGAAGTAGGCGCGACGACAATTCGTGCTCCTGCGGGGAGATGAGCGCACACTTAGAGGACGGGCGGGCACGAATCGAAATCAGAGCAATGCTTAATTAATTTGTAAGTTAATTTATTGCATTTCAATTTATTGACTGTTTCAAACTATGAAATCGTAGTTCATTTTGTGCTATGTAAGTTGTCAGTTGTTTTTTCGTGACAAATTTAGGTGAATTGAGACGAGCCTATACAGTACAAGTTGCCACCCAATTGATAGCAAAGAAGTGCGATTTGCTTTGCTAAAATGAAAGCTTTGGATCATTTAAAATGAAATACGTCGGAGATCTTAATTGGTTTACATGCAGAGTGGATTTTAATCTCCCTGTGCAAATTAATAACGGTAAAACGATTATTCAATCGTTCGTTTCTTTGCAATAAGAAACAATTGAACAAATCTTTGTATTCTATTTTCAGAGCAAATACAGAACACCGCGAATGATTATAGTGTAGAACTTCTAAATTGAAATGATTTTTAAAGGCTGAAGTTTTAATTCAAAATTTTCATACGATGGAGTAATTTAATGGCATCATCACTCAGAAAATTTTTTGAGTAAACTCCAATGATGTTAATTGAGTGAGGTAATGGGCGACAAAGTTAGAAATGAATATTTTAGTACGCGAAATGACTGTCATACTCTGAATACTGCTTACTATGCATAAACATTAAATTCATTAGAGATCCTTGGTAAAGATAAAGATATACCTATATGATAGATATGAATAATAGATATGAGAACTCTTCCAAGGATCACACACCATTGATAGCACGTTTGAGAGTAGCAACTGCCCGAACAGAATACGTACTGAGCACTTACTGTAATTCTTGCCGTACCTAGCTTCGAAGACCTCGCGCTGAGACTTATCAGGTTCTCTTGGTTTCTTGTCTCGAGATCAGATATATCATGGACTATTAGTGAATTTATTGTCAAGAGAAAATTGAACAGTTCAATTAGCTGGATTTAAAATTCAAATATATATGAAATACATCTCATAGATGTTTTCAGTTCTATAGATGTGGTGAAATTTTGGTTGATTCTTTTTTTCGTATACATTGCTGTGTACCATTTACATTACATGGCAAAAACTCCAATTCAAATTTTCCAAGGTTTGGATCGCAGTTCGGAACATTATGAACCTTCTGGTCGAAGTGAGGAAGAAAAATTGTTAAAACGAATATTCGCTCGATCTTATTTTACGTTCATTTTTCCATCGTCTGCCCCAAATTACGTTGATACACTGAGTTATATGATCCCAGGAACAAATATCCGATTGAATGATAAAAAATAATTTTGAAAATCTACTTCGAATCGTAACGTTAAATCCTTTCCTTTTGTTTGAGCAGCATACATCATCGTCCATGAGTGTAAGGAAAGTTAAAAAATTACTTCGTTTTGCACAAAAGTGAATCGTTTCCTGTGTGTGTTTGAGCAAAATGATTAAATATGAAGATCAAAAAGTGACCATAGACAGTCGCTCAGATTCAAGCTTCTGTGGTATTCTCTCACAGAATTCTTTGTTCCGCGCTTGATTAAATTCTAAAGGGAAATAGATTTAGCTATAGCGAGCTCACCGCAGTCTGTATAATATTCTCAACAGGATTATTTAGTATGAAAGAGATATATTGTCAAATTATTTCAGCGCCGGGAGCAGGCGGTAAGTAACCCACAAAAACACCTTTCATCAAGTCTGCACAACGCTGAAACTGACACAACGACGGATGAGCAGCGGTTGATGAGAGCAGAGTTTAAATCCACGTGGGAGCCCTAAACATGGTAGAGCCTAAATGTCACTATTTTGTGCGATAAAGAATGCTTATCACATGATTTAGCTTTATATTTCCAAATAAGGTGGCAGTTTGTTTATCCAATACGCTGGAGCTGCCAACACTATTTACTTGCTTATTATTAAATATTTTTGCTTAAGTTCGTTCTGTCAGATATGCTCTTTAAGCGCGTTTTCTAAGTACCCTGAATTACCTTGCTTGTGAGAAATTAGGACGGTTCCCGCAGTTTTTAAAATCTTCAATCTTGAAAGCATGTAAATCTCAGAAATGTGCCAAAAATAGTTAATCATGCTTGTCCATAGATGGAGCATGCGTGTGCAATGGTCCCAGCATGGCAGTATTAGTAATATTGCGAATGATTATCTGATTTAAATTGTGTATATTAATGAAATTTGTTTTAAGAGTTTCCAGAATGATGAACTTTTTTTCGTAAATATATTTAACAGTACAAAACATAATAATTCTATGTTTCAAGTAATAGGAATATTATATTATATTATATTATATTATATTATATTATATTATATTATATTATATTATATTATATTATATTATATTATATTATATTATATTATATTATATTATATTATATTATATTATATTATATATTATAACTTATATTATATTATATATAGCCAATTATATTATATTATAGCCGGTTGTATTCTTGCGACGTCCACTGAGCGATAATTGATGAATTTTAAGGCAATAAGCAATTTTTTGACGCATCAGTTATTCATACCGCCTCGCATGTGATGAAACCGCATGAAATGTACCATAGTGTGCATGTTGTACGAAATAATCTAGATGAAACCCAAAGCCCAATCCAAAGTATTCGGAAATCAAATACTTGCATTTGTGACCGTTTGTATGTGTGACCGTTTGAGCCTCAAATAGAGGCTTATTTTTCTGTGCAAAGCTGATTCTGCTTTATACAAATCCTATTGAGACTAAAATGGATATCTTACAAATAATACTACTAACTCAGCACTTCTCGGGTCACTTGATTTCTCTAGTTGGAATAGTTCAACAAGCAAAAATTGGTCGTTTTATATTTTGATTCAATGCTTGAATCTGGCCAGGAGATACAACAATAGGCCACAAGTTTAGTGTTCGGTCGTTCAGTAGCTCATTGAGTGATAGGTTGACTGAGAGCCGCACGTCATGCGCCTTGAAGCACAGCAGGCGTTGCTTGAAGCTATGAGACTTGCCACGTAGAGAAACACATGGCATTCCATAAATTGTTCCAACATTAATAAATTACTTTACTCTAGTCGAATTTTACTTACGCTCGATAAAATCCATGTAGTCATAATCCAGTACTCACTTCTGCAAATGTCAATAATGTATGTTGCAATACAGTGTATAGAACCGGCTGATGTTGCAAACAGAGCGTAGCTCTAGCAACAGCGTTCCTCAACATCTTCACGCTTCATTGCTTCAGGGTTAGTTGTTCAATTTCTTTTGTTTGTCATGTGATGTTCAGAAAAAAATTCAATGTAGAAAACATATGCCGATTTTTTAGCTCAAATGAGCAGCCAAATCGAATGGAATAGGATAAAAATTTCATCAAATCGCACTGTGTGTTTTTAAATTAATATCATGAACTACTGCAAAAGTCGTCCCTCTTTGTGTTAATATTTTCTATTAAAACCAGGCGAAATAAATATATTGAGACTTTCACGTGCAATTCGAAATAATATGCAATTACTGGAATTATGACGATGTAATGGAAATCTCTACAATGCAACTGGGAGTAACTTTGAACCGATTTAAGTTTGAAGGAGTATCTTAAGCATGAGCATGACACACGTTGCGTTGTTATGAATTATATATAAATGAATGCCTTTTGAAATAAATGGCGAACGAGTTTGCATGAATTCAAACAACACATAAACGTTTCAGTTGGCAAGACTGACTTGGAGCTACGACACCGTGTCGGTGAGCTGCGGGGTTGCATACACAGACGCAGGCACTGCGACCGGCTCGGCCTGCATCGCCTCGCTGAGATGACTCACATGAAATCAGATATAATTTGCTAAACTACAAAGCTCATTCTAAAGCTATAATTTTTCGTAGCAGATTTGGGTAGAACGTTGCCTAGAATATCAAGATTGAATAAGTTATCGTAAACGGAGCTACAATTAGTTATAAAATGATTTGCTCTGAGCAGATGTACTCAATAACCCGGCTTGCAAAACATCCCGGTGCCGTTAGCTTGTACACGTTTACGCACATGCTGGCTGCATGACCGTCCATTGTCTCAATTTACATATTGTCGACGTTCAGGACTATTTTCTGAGTGTCTCTTGTTTCTTTAAACTTACTTGTTTTTCTGCGTGTGTATGGGACAAACATGGGTTATTTGAAGTATCATTTCATCTCACACTCTTCACTAAAGGTTTCATGTATTCCAACTCCACGTGTTCATGTGCGGCATTTCAGACCAATCACCGGAGCTGATGATTGCATCGCCACGCCTCGCATTGCACTCAAGCGCCGGTCCCAGAGTTTGCTCCTCCTACACTGAAGTCCCGCATTGGTAGCAAAACACGGCAGCACTCCGGCACTCAGCTCAGTTGCCAGGGTGAGCGCGACTAAAGCAAGGTTATGGCTCTCTCCTGACCAGACTCCCTCCTTTGACTCCGTCGCGGATTAGACTTGTGTCTGGAAGTAAGGTTCGAAAAATTGTTGTATTGACGAGTTTCTACAGATTGAGAAATTGAATTTGAACGTCTTCGCGTCGTTGATATCTACTCCGGAATTTTTTCTAGATCTACTGCCCATTAAATCGGCGTTTTTGTATTACAGATCAAATGTTATACCTACACTAAAGTTAGCTATTGCTAAAGTTTTGTGTACGAAACCCTGAAGAAATAGATACATACGACAGAAATAGATACATAGGACTAAAATTTTGGTCTGGACAAGGATATTCTAGTTTTGTGGTAACTTTATTGATAATCAAGTAACTTGTGAAATGGTCAAGATGCCACAGCGACAAAGACACAATACTGGTGGTGGCACTGGAGGTGCTGAGTTGCCTCTGTTGGATCCCGGTGTGATAGAGGCGCATAATGCCGTGACTACTCGCTGTTGTATTCCTCTCTCGTCAAGTTGTATGCGAGGCTATCAACCAATTAGCATTGCCTCTCCTGTTGGAACTGTTAAAGTTTTGTGCAACAACGAAAATTGCAGGATAGGAAGCTATATGCACAAAGAGTGCTTTCAGGCTTGGGAAAATCATGTACTGGCGTATCTTCGTTCTTGCGGCCGTGCCCGATCTTGGTCTGAAAAACAGCGTCTGCAAAACTTGTGGACAAAGCGAGGTTATGATCTTGCCTTCAGAGCCTGCTCATGCCTTTGCGGTCGAGGTCATCTCCGTAAAGATCTTGACTGGAATGCTCCTGAAGAAATTGAGGAAGACAAATCGGCTAACAAAAAGAAGAAAAAGAATCGTCAAAATCAGAAGCCTGCGCTCGTAACCGTTGGAATCCCTCTTCCACCGGCAAACTTGAGAAACCGAGCAAATTCTCTCTCGTCAACAGGATCGTCTCCGCCATCGGATGCTCCTGTCAGTCCTCATCACCTCGTAAATTCAAGGAACGGTTTTGAGCGTGACAGGTGAGCCTTTAGAATAACGAACAAAATAGTTGGTATGTATTCCTTTACTTCGAGCCTCAAATTGATGTATTGTTCTAAATTGCAGTCAAATTGAATTGTCATGATCATTCATAGGTTTTTAGATGTTGGTTGGGAATCAAGTTATCTTGAAGTCGAGTGTTTGAAGATTTTTAAAGGCATTCAGCATTTTTATCCATTGAACTGAGAACTCGGTTTCATCATACCATGTAATAAATCGTTTTTCTAACTTTGCACCTCAAAAGTACTGACTCAACCGTAGTATCATTATCATATGATATGGTGTGGCTCCAATGAGTTCTATGATAAATTGGGAATATTTTTTGTTTTACCTTAAATGACATGGCTGAAAGTTGAAAAAATCTATATACAATGATGTGGCGAGTATTTTATGGCTATATTAGTTGTTTCATCTAAATCTAATGCATATTCGTAAATCGGTAAATGGTTGACCGTAATGCAGTAAAATGACTATTGCTTGCAAATGGCTCCTGCTTTGCGTCGTTAGTGTAAATAGAAAACTCTGCATAAGCTAATCTAATTTTTTATTTCATCACTGTTAACTGGTATGATTCCTGACATTAACTGATTTTTCTTTTCAATTGAGTTATCTGGGTTATTTGAACTCTGAATAATTTCTTTAAATCGATATAGGTATTTAAATGGTCCTAGTTCAGGCAACTCTTTTTCCTATATATAGACCAGTTGAAAAGCATGATATTTGCAACAATATATTTTAATACCTACTATACAAGTTAGTTTCATTGGTCCAGAAAATCTCTCCAAATATTGGGATTTGAGGTCGTATGATAGCAGTTTAATTGCTTACTCTGTTGGTGACTATTAAAAGTATTAAGTGTAACTAGTAATTTTAAGTTCGTGCTCAGTTTTTACTAGTATTCCGAAAAGAAATTTGCAGTCTAAAAATGAGAAGAAAACACGTCCAGCAGACAGCTGCTACCTGGTCTGTGTTGAACTTGAGGAGCTGTGCGACTAGAAAGCTGACCTTGATTTCCTAACAGGGCGTCCCGCTGCAGTTGCTCTACCGGTTTCCCCCTCCTCCCATATATGTTACGTTCATTCCATACTAAAATCAATTTATAACATCGAGCAAACTTGTTTGATTCGTAACCTAAATTTACTATTTTCAGTTTCAAAGACAGAATTTTTCTGTATAAACCCAAATTTGAGTTCGACTGACCGTTTTAGTATATAACTGTTCGTTTTTTTTATTCACGGATCGAAAAAGGTAAGATTAGCAGCTATACGTAAAAAAGACTTACTTATACGTATTTATAATCTAGTGAATGCATGACACAAAAGCTTTCATTTTATGTAAATCTAGTTCATTGAAATTCCAATCAGGTTCATTAAAGGAGGATTTCTTGCATATGGATAATGTTGAGCGGTCTCTTGTTGCTGTACAGACTACGTGTTGGAGTGAGCGAGCGTGTGTGTGTGAGTTTGTCCCGAGTTGAAACTGTTTATCGATCTGCGGAGGCTTGGCAACTCCATGCCGGAGCAGTTGGCCAACGTGGTAGCTCACCTAGCAATATTGAGGCTGCCTCGAACGCAGCCCGGTCATGCAGCATGGCTATAGAGTATAGACTCTTGCATCCTTCAGTTCAGCTTTGACCGCTTCTTCATGCGTCCAAAAGAACGGCTGAAGATAGTACATAGTTGAATGAGACATTTAGAATAATAGATCTTGGTAGACTATCCAGGATTCGCGTATATTTAGTGTACAATTTTAATATCCATTCATTGTTTTTTTACATCTTATGCATGATGCACTGACGTTAAGGCTAGTTTTTTCTTGCATTACTTCCATTATACCTATTTCAAGTAGGTAACCGTTATTAAAATTAGTCTGTTAGTCGTTTTCGGCAATACAAGTATTCATTGAGATACATCGGCTTCCAAATTCGCCTATCACGTCCTCCCATAAATTTTTCCGTTAAAATAACCGTTTTTTCATTCGATTTTTGCTGGACCACTCTTTAAACTTGTTACATGAAGGTTAATGCTGCCATATACGCGTTGAATATCGAGTAGTTTTTCACACTTTTTAATCGCTTCATTTCTTTTTAGTTTTAGCTAATCTACTGTTTTTAAGTTTTGAAAACAATTCACATAAACTTCGGAATTTTTTTGTATCTTCAGGGAGCTTTATGCCTATGGTGTGTCCATTCTGTCCATTGTCAACATTCTTTGTGTTTCATGAAATGACAACGGTCATTTCATTAAAATTTACAACGCCCGTTTATTTATTTATCTGAATCCACTGCAATGTATCTATAACTGCCAACCAAATCATTTGCAGTGTACATTGCACGCAGTTAGGCAAGCAAAGCTGGACGAAGTAGATACGTTTAGTGGTTGGTGGCATACGCTTGAAGAACATCGGACGGCTTTAGTGCCCTCTGGGGCTATCGTAAAAGAGAATGGATATGATCGATTTAGAGATGGAGTGCTGGGTTAAGTGTGGGTTTTAAGATAGTTCACAATAGCATCGAAGCCATGAACACTCGAGACTTCCTACGATCTTCCCTTAGTGTCCTCATTTTTCGAGGGAAACCATCAGCAAACGTAGTAGCGGGAAACAGGTGAATTTCGGTAGTCGTGATGGACCTTGTTTGTAGAGTTAGGCGCGCTTACAATTGCAGGGCACAGGAGTTCCACCGAGTTTCATTGAGTTTTATTCTACTCTGAAGTGTTATTGTTGTTGAATATTTATGAAAATGGGCTTGCCATCTTTTTTAGAGTCGAGAGGAAGTACTTGGATCTGTAAAGTTCGCTACTACCAATTACTAAGGTCTTGTGTTTGCTACATCCACTACCCATTTCACTCCAATACGAAGCCATTTTCTTTGCCACCTTGTCAATGATATCCATGACGCAAAAGTCGTCCAAATTACTTCTGTAAAGAAAAAGCTCCTTTCTTATTGTAGAAAAATCAATTCACTTAGAAGATGAATTGTTTGGCTTATTCTTGCCCACTAATCGCGTAATCTATATATAATATATGATTATGTGCGTTTGATATAAATAATCTCTTGATTCTGTGCGTTTCAGAGAGGCCCAAATCAGAATGTCACAAAAATTACTCGGTTATTCATCCACCATGGTTTTCTAAAGTAAATATGTATTACCAGGATTTTCAATTTCTCTTAAAACAAGCTTTAAAATAGTAAGACCTGGAACATGTCTCATTACCTGTAATGGATATGCACCTGATCCGCTTGTCCGTTTTTTTGCTGACCGGTTTTTAGATCTAATTCGTCTTTATCTTTGATTTTATTTTGATACTGGATCATTTGTTTATGTTTCGTTAAATTAGCTTTAATGGGTTCAACTCTGATATTGTTCATCATGTTTTCTTTTTCCGAAGCAAAGCTCTTTTATACTGCTATGTCAGCAATTTCATGCAAATGAAGTTCTTACGTAATTTTTTATGTGACATTTATCCAGGGATCTTTTATTAAAATAGGAAGACATTTATAATAAAATTTTATGTATTTTTTTAATCACTGTGAATAAATAGGCTCATGTGAGTCACGAAGTGTCAGTCGAAATCTTTGTATGACTTTAAATGTAACAAAAATGTACAACTTTTATGGCCGAATTTTTTTTATGTACTTTTTCAAGTATGTCTCGCCGAAGAATTTCTTGCTTTCTAGTTCCTACCGAAGTAGATGGTCGTTGGTGCTTGGCGTGGCCTTTACAGAGTGCAGCATTTGCATTGCGGCGGTGCGTGGAGAACTACCCAGGCTCCTTCAATAAATGTGATATTGACAATAAAAAAATCCTAATGGTGACATAAAAGCCAGCTTGAAATCTTGTGCCTGGCCAGAGGCCGTGTTTTTGATGAAGACAGAGAACCCCATCGAGTCTTATTATGCGGAGGAGGTTCGACGGCTTGTCATATAAATATATGTAGTTTTTCCTCGAGGAATTCTTACTTGATTTTCGTAAGAAGGTAATACTCCTCAGATATTCTTTCTTTTTTTCAAGTTCCAGTGGAGCAAAAGTGAAGAGGCCTCAAAATTTACATCGCATGTATTATATGTGTGTATTTCGTACGCCGGCAAATTGTGTATGGATAGATGCTGCTTAACTTGTTTGCCATTTCTTTTTATTAAGCATTGTATATTTGTCCTATCCTGTTGTGAAATGATGATTTAATTTGATCTCCACTTTCAAAAAAATTTTTTTTGTTTATTTTTCACGCATTATATTTTAGCTTTTACTAGAATACTTTCTCATAAATTGTTAACATATTGAAAATTACTTGAACGTTTCAATTAAAGACTGATTTATTTTGCTGGATTGAAACACAGGAAATTAATTATATCTGTCAATAATTATGATACGTATGTATTTAGTGGCCGGTTTAACTTATTGCATACTGAAGGTTACCCCTCCTTAAGGTGGGAATTACACAACGATCATTATATCAATATACAAAGAATTGTGTTAGTAGAAAATTATTTTTTTTTACAACCGCAACTTGACTCGGTTGCACGATACCAACCAACCACAGTAGCCATGTTAGTACCCCAACAGCCCCTGCTGCTGCTGCACAACTTTCTGATTATAATCTAATATAGCGAGCTTTTAGCCGGTCCCAGGCAATAACAAAGGCAGGCGAGGAGGGAAGCCTCGTCCATACCAGTCCATTTCCTCATCTAGTTTCGAGCAGCATTGCCTTTCCATCGTGTGTTGATAATAGGATAGAAATATTTCTATTTTAATTTATTGATTTATATTTTGCATAAGTTCATGGTCCGTAATGTAAAGCCGTTTCTAGCTTACTGAACCTGAACAGAAGACGAATAATTTTTTCGACTATGATTGAAGACAGAAGGTGGTAGGTACGTAGGTACCGGTAGTTATTTTTGAATTTCTCGGCACCATGAGGCAAAATTTTTTTCCATTATTGAATTGAAGATGAATTAATTATTTTAGAGATCTATGAATCG